GGTCCTCAAGGCATAGCTATTACTTTATGAATATACTGCAATTAGAAGCCCACTTAATCTTTGATGAGGAAATGGGGTTTTCACATGTTTCTGAATTTAGCTAGCCTTCAAGAGTTCAACGTGTATTTTCAGGGTATGGCTTCCTGCATCTCACACTTCTGGCCTGCTTGAGGCTTATTCTCTTCTTCAGTATGTGATAGAAATTGCTGTGTATTTAGAAAAAATTAGAATTAAGAAGAGTAATTTGTTTCAATCAGATAAACATTTAGTTTTATTGTTGGCATTGTTAGCTCAGAACTAAAAGTGATAAGGTAAATTGCCAGGTGGCAAAAGTTGAATTAAATAAAGCTTTACTCTGTTCTTTCCTTTACTTTCTTTGATAGTGAACAACGCTTCTATACCAGACTGCCACTACAAAGGCCAGGTATATCCAAAAAGCAAAGTGCTTTTCCTCTATTACAAACTGATTTGTATATACGTTTCAGTTTTTTGAAATGAGTGAAAAGTGAGTCAAAACAAATTAATACCAGATTAAGACCTCATAAAAAATTCAAACACCTAAAAATGAAACAAGCTAGAAATGTGTAAAAATTTTAAAATAACCAATACTTTCAAATCAGTATTCCAAATATATTGTTTGGAGGATTAGCTACTCTACACACAGAATACATATTTCTGAAATTTAAAAGTGATCAAAGTTAAAAAACTATGGGTATACATATCTCATGTCTTACAGTATTTCTCTGTTCTTTCCAAAAAGTATCCATGCAAGAAATTCCAGTTACTCCCTGCTACCCCAAACCAAAACAAACAAAAGCTTTGCATTTTCCCATGGTTTCAAATATTTATGATGTCTCAAATTTCTATGTATATGATAGTATATGAAATAAATGTCCTTCAATAGCATGCATTAACTCATTTTAGAAGACTAAATAACCGGGCTTAATTTTTAGTTACGGATATAACCCTAAAATTATTATTTATGGAATAATTTTTTTTCTTTTGCAGTACTGAACCTAAGGCCTTCATACTTTTAAAAATTTTTAAATTTTGAGATAGAGTCTTGTTAAATTGCTAAATTGCCCATGCTGGGCTCAAACTTTCTATCTTCCTATCTTAGCCTTCCAGAGTGCTAGGATCTCAGATGTGTGCCACCATACCCGGCTAATAAGTTTCTTTTATAAATGAAGTTTTACTGGCATATTTTCTTCTAAAGCAATAAACTGAGGATCAATTAAGGTATATAACATTTTTTAAAAAGGTTGATGATATTTTTATCTGAGCATTTTATAAATGAAGTGGGTAAATTAATCCTTAAAGAAGAAATAGCATTTGAGTTTAGTTTTATTTGGCTGTGTCTCTGCATAATGCCCACGGCATTGCTGACTTAATGATCTTTGTCTACATATTCTAAAATAACAATTCCAAATGTGATGTATTCCACGGGCTTCCAGTGAAAGCACTGATATTCTATGATGGTGGTTCAGGAATCTGAAGTCAGGTGAACAGATGAATTGATTCTTCTCATTGGGTGTGAGTAATTATTCTCAAATTCACCAATTACTAGCATAACTCTTTGAGTAACGGCCACAAATAATGAGCATAAGTAAGGGACGTCTTTTTAGGTGATCCTTGCCTCTTTAAATTTCCTGTTTAAGACCCAACCAGTCTAGTTATGACCAGAGATAAAAAGGGTTAATGAGTGGTAACAGTAACGGGGGCAACAAAATTGGGGAGAAAGGAAAAGGGTGATGGAGGAAGAAAGAGCCAGGATGGTAGCAAAGTGCCTAATGGCAGCTGTGATGGAATCCTGGCAAGGGTCACTGTTAGCAGGCATGGTGCAGTTGCCCAGTGAAAGTTTGTGGAGCTGAACTTGAAAAAAATCTTGAAAGGGCCTCTCCACTCAACCCCGTCCTTGATCCACTCACTCTCCCTGGCCTGACAGTCATGCACAAATATTTTAATAGGAATGGTTTGCATTTAGAGATTAAAGGCCTTATACAAGTGCTGTAAAAAAAAATATCAAACAAGCATTGTTTTGGATGTAGATTAGATGAGGAGCTCAGAAGGGGAGACGTGGGCAATCCCTGTGATTAGTCCTATGATCTTCATGAGAATCCTTCTTCCCTCTCCCACACAGCCATGGACATTGTGCTAAGGTTCCTGTCTTGTTATTTTCTACATCTTCTCCCCCCGCCCAATTTATAAGAATGCATATTCTCACTGTTAACTTACACTATCTCAAACATCATTTTGTTCATCATATTATTTTATTTCAAAGCATCCCTAGAGAGTGATCATACAAATAAACACTGTTTTTGAAATCTATACTGACATGGCTCTACAGATATAGAGACTCAAATATTTGTGTACATCAAGGTACTTAGACACAGCTGCACCTGTATGAGATAAATTACACATGTTTAAATGTTAGGGACATGTAAAAACGGTCCTCGCTGCCATACACATACTATTGTTAACTAAACAATATAATTCTTTCTAATCAAATAACCACTGTGAAATACCTGATTCACTTTGCACCCAACAGCTGGGGATGTAGCTTGTGTTCCCAGCCAGAGCTGAACACAAGCACAATAGTAAGGGCAGAAACAGCTGCAAACCCTTGCTAGAAAAAATGTGCAAAGCAACTATGCCATCAGGCTGGGTAGGAAGGAAGTAAAATCATTTTTCTGTTTCTCTTCTTGTGTGGCAGCTGTCTTTGGAGAAAAAATATGTCTATTTTATTTTGTAACAGAAACTCCATAGTATTTATTAAAAATGTGAATTGTCGAAACAGGCTGGCTACAGAGTTAGCATTTTAGCTCAGTCAAAATGTTTACAGAACTTGGTAGGAGGTCACTGCTGGGACAGATCTAGCTGGATGGTCTCTAATCTTTGCTCCATGCCCAGTCCCTCCGACAACCATTATTTGTTATAAACAAACTGGATTTCAGAGATGTTGACTATCTGATTCTTCTAATGCTGTAGGTTTATTTACATAAAATTTAATGGAATTCTTTAGGCAAGTGTCAGAGAAATCAATCTGTGGGTCTCGAGAGCCCTTTGTCTGTACACACTATTGTTAAGTGTCTGCTTTTTTTCTTCTCCTAAAATTATAGCTCATAAAGGCAAGTTCTGCATCACTGTTTCCTTTGTGTCACTTATTTGCCTACTAAAGCAAATTTAGTAGGTTCTCAATACACATTTTATAAATTAAAAGTCACCTGGACTAGTACTTTCATGAAGTAAGTATCTATTTTCACCTTTTGTTTTGGATGCACAGTTAATGGTATAAGATAGCTTTTTTATACACATGCTAGGAGACAAGAATAAAATATCTGCTATAGCATTTCTATTATAATTAGATTGATACATTATATATCACGCAGATAGTGAGGACTTTGTTATTAAAGCAACCTATTTAAAAATGGGATTTTATTAAAACTTTTAACATCTGGAAATAGACCAGGAAATCTTTGATGTTAAAAGAAAACTGTCAGACTTAAAGTGGCCATAAAAGCTTATTAACATGAACCTGAATTGGCAAGATAATGGACAATTTAGAAAATAAAAAGAAAAGCAGAAATGAAGATAAAGGGATGTAAGCCATATCATGCATACATTAGGAATGCAATAGATGCAAGCTTCTCTCATGTTCCTTTGGAATTTTATAGAATATAATCAATGTACATTAAAAAGATATGAGCCCAAATTAATATTACAAGGAGAACAGATACAACCATACTCAAATACATTAGAGAGCTTGTCTCTGTGGGAGGACTGGGCTACTCTCCTTCAGCTTTTGAGAAGCTAAGGATGCTAATAAATGGTCAGGCTGGGTGAGGTGGGTAAATAAACATAATGAACTGGAAAGAAAAAGGAAGGGGAGAACTAGTGTAGTTGGCTGTGAGGCAACAGGAGCAGGGGATACTAGTACGGGAACATTTAGACCACAGGATCTGTATCATTAGTTTTGAGCTAGGAAGATTTTATTTTGCTTTATGACTTTAAAAAATTCCACCATGTCCACTAGTACAAGACAAACATGCTTTATAGTTCTCAAAATATGGCAATGACCAAAGTCTATACTACTATAAAGATAGTGGACATACAAATGGGCAAGTCATAGGAAAACATCATCATCCTCAATTGGTTTACTAGAAGCTGTTGTTTGATCAGGATGTTAACTGAATCAGACAATTATGAAATAGACATCTCACTTTACAAGAAATTTCTAGTGTTCATAGAAATTTAACATTTCCATGTATGTCCTTGTCATTCTGCAGTGATCAAGAATCTACTAATGAATTCATATTGAAAGCAGCAATAACTACTAAAGCAGTAAAACAAATCCAACACTAGAGCATGTTAGTTTCTGCAATGATTCCTGTAGCTAGGAAACATAGTAACTTCAGTCAAGTTTAAAATATGAATATTTATTTTATGGATATACTGCTGCTAGCCATTAAAGCACTTCTTGATACCCCTTCCCATGAGTATTTGAACTTCTTTGTGTCTGACCCCACCATTTTGTGGAAGAGCCCGAGTTACAGTGGGATTCTGACAGTAATGTCCCTTCCTAACTCCTGCCAATACTTCTCAATGATGTGAATGTTTCTTCTCATGGAGACACATGGTTCACACAATAGCTTTCCTTTGATCCCTAGCTTCCCTTGGAATAGGAAAACATCGCCTGGAAGTGCTTTAATTGTTTCATTTTTACTTTCCAGTCACGTGATAAAAGTTATGAATGGAAAAAACCCCCAAACCATTCCAAAAAAGAAAATTAAAGCAACCACTTCAAAAACTTAACAAAAATAGGCCCTACACTTCATAAAAAGTGGGGCAACCGTCACTGTTTGGCTTTTAGTCTGTGTCTCCAGCTTCTGCTGTCATTTATACATTACAGTGTTTATAGCAAATATTTTCCTGCAAAAACAAAACCATATTAACTACATAATACCAGACAGGACGGACACAGACACTCAGAAAGCAATTACCTGCATGAAACGACCCCCTGACGTCCCAAGATTAGCAATGGTGAGATCTCCTTTAATGAAGGTAGATATAGATGTTAGGAGCACTTGTTTGAATTGGCCTAAGAATAAGTCAACACGCTGCAAAGCCGTGGTAAATTCTGTTCGATACTCATCACTGCGTACTTCACAGCCTGATGAATTTCTCAGAAATGTCTGGAATAAAACATGACCATAGAGTTAATGTGAGTTCTGATGCAAAGAAGCTGCTAAGAAACTTTTCAGTGTATCTTTTCTGAGCTTGGCAGGGAATGGCCAGGACAACTGTGCAGTAAGACAGCCCCAAATAGGTATGGATAGTTCAAGTGACAGAAAAGACTCCTGTTTTATATGCATAGATTCAAAAACTGGAGGCAAACATTATTATCATAATTCACAGCACAGTTCAATATGTGTGTACATAAAGATGGAACTTAGCAGGTGATAGTAAAAGAAAAACAAAACCTTAAATATCTCAGCTCTTGACATAAAAGTTGTGCTTCTAGCAGGCAAGGCTATGAGATGAATTTCAGCTGGAATAACAAATGCTGGAGTCATATATTAATGTGTGCATTTTTGTGCACAGAAGTGGTGGGGAGTGGTGGTTAGTAGATAACTCATGGGGAGGAAGGAGAGAATAGGTGCAAGTGCCTACATCAAACCTGGTTTCCAATGCTTACTTGAAATCTTTCTATGTTCAGAAATTCACATGATCTGTGTTTCATTCCCCTCACCTATAAAATGGAGTATAGAAAATAGTACCTATTTTATAGAATTATTGCAAAGATTAAATGAACTAGTTTATATAAATCTCTTACAGTAGAACCCAACATATAAAGAATACCACTTCAGTGTCATTTCTGGATGAAAGGCTCAGAAAGTGAAAATCTGTACCTCAAATGTCTCAGTAACCAGCTTACCGAGAGGTCATTACCACTCAGTCTTGTAACTATCCTTTAGGTTCAACCTCAAATGGAAGGACTTCAAAAAATATTGTTCAGAAATATAGACAACTAAGCACTGAATATTCCTCCCTTCTACTGGACAGTTCAGTCTCCTGGTCTTCTCAGACAGCAGCATTTGTGTCTTCTTTGTACATTCATTCATGCATGACTGTCAGTGTTGGGGTTTCTCAAGTCTCTATCCATTTACCTTCACACTCTCTGCTGGTGACCTTGGCTTCTCCTGGGATGTCTACTGTTTAGTTGACACATGCATTTGTATCTCCACTCACATGTCTCAGAGATCCCAGACTCAATATGGCCAATCTTCTCCCTGTCTTATGATATTACCCACCCCAGAGAATGGCTGTACCATCCCTCCAGGTGCACTACTCAGAAACCTAGGTGTCATGTGTCATCCCTGATTGTCCTGCTCTCCCAATGCCCTGATACAGGTCTAGCTGCAATTCCTATCAGTTTCATGTTCTAAGTATCGCCTGGATCTACCTGATCCATTTCTGTCTCCATCACCATGAGCTTCATCCTACGAGCCCATCCCTTTCCTGGACTGCAACAGTGACTTCCTAACTAGACCCCCAAATCCACCATCACCCTTGTCAGGTGATCTGTTCCTCACACTCCAACAGGACTTTTATTTCAAGGCACAAATCCAATTGCTTCTCTCTTTATTTGAGTCATTTAATGCTTCCTCATTGCTCTTTGAATAAAGGAAAACATTTTTAACCTGGCCTGTTGGACTTCACATCATCTGGCCTCTACCCGACTTCTCCAAGTGTCTGTGCACCCATGAACAGAACTTTCAGCTCTCCAAATATGTCAGGTGTCCCCC